AAAGTAATGTAATTAAGCCTAACCTAGAGAAGTTTTACCTCATCTCTTCATGACTAACCCATTTATATAACAGCAGCATTTGTGAGTTAATGATCCAGTAAAACTCCCATTGTTTCTTCTGTGCAAGTAGCCAACTGAACCAAACTTAGGGTCTAGTCCATGTATTGAACATCATCTTATTATATCTGACTTAGCATCAGTATCTGCTAGCTTGACTTCCTGGGCATCACGAACGAAGGAGCTAAGACAGCAACGCAGTATCGGTGCTGTAGTGGATGAACATATTTCAATTGTGCCTTCCTACACACTCAGGACACCGGTCTATCGTGTATGTCATTTCCTTTTGATTCCCGCCAAAAAATTGTCGCTAAGTTGACATTCATATAGGCTCTATAATAAACCTCGTTGGACGGGACCTCAAAGTTCCCTTCTTTCTCGTGTTCCAGAACGGAGTGAGATTTCGTGGCCGTTGTGTTTGTAATAAAAGATAAAATTAAGACACCTCTGTCAGGTTTCCCCGAGACCCTTTCTCCAAGGATCACCAACAAATGCGCGCACAGCTCAAACCTTCAGTTAGCTATCCAATTCTAACGATGCCTTAGCGCCCACGACCTCGTTCTGTTAGCAACCGCCCTCCACGGCGAGCGGATTTAACCGCTCCCACGGCAGCAGGCCAACTGCAGGAACAGCGGCAGTGCTCCGACACAAGCCCGGTCAACCAGACCCGAACAGCGGATTCCTGGCAAATGACGCGTGCTCTCTTGCAGGTTTGCTGCTGCTGTGATGAACGAGGCCCGATGCCTGACTGCATTTCCCACGGTACGTCGCGCCGAAGTTACATGCGTCTTGGCATTCGTTCACATGTGCGCTCTTCTCAAAACGGCATCTCAATTCCCCGGTACAAAATGTAAAGTAAAAAAGTCAGTTCCATATGGTCAAAAAAAAGCAAGGACGCATATGATACGGTCGTAAAACTGTTTTGATCTCTGTAACGGTAGATTATTGTTGCTCAATGCAGAAAAAAATTGTATCAACTGCAAGAATGCTTAACCGATCACCGTTGTCCAGACGGCGGCCGTGCCTCGCATCGGAGACGGGCGGGGCCGCGCGCAAGTCCTGCCGCTGCGCGCCGGGCAGCACGCCGGCCTATGGCGTCCGACAGGGTCACCTGCAACGGCCCACCCCACGCCGGGGACCGACACTCCCACAGCACAGGCGGCGGCACGCTCCTTCCACGACACGGCGCCGCCTCCGGTCATCGCCCGAGGGCGTGCAGGCCGGCAGAGGAGGACGGCTTTCTGGGGCGCTGGCTGTACAGTCGACGTCTTAACAGCGGACTGAGCGCGGCTGGCTGATGAGATCCATGACGTGCTGGGACACGCCCGTGGCGCTGTGACGAACTTCTGCTTCTGCTGTGTCGTCCATAAGCCGTATGCCGTCCACGGGCTCTGCGGGCCGTTGTCACACAGCGGGTGACGCCGCCGCGGGCTGGCGTTACAGTTCTGGGTGGCTTGCTCGAACTCTGCCCTCTGCCAAGTGCTCGGTTTTGAACTGTGGCGAATATAATTCCTTGATACAAATCTTTTTTCTCAGTTAGTAATGAAAAAGTTAAAAAAGTGAAAGATACAAGCCATGCACGTTCTGCGCCGGTGCTGCGAAAATTTGCATGAGTTGTGCTGTAAAATAAAAGCGACTCTGCGCGCGCCTCCATCGGAGGCGCAGACCTTCAATCATGCGTTGCATCCGCGGTGGTTGCAGATTGCATTCAGCCTGTGTATTGAAGCATGCTGATAGCAATCACGACAGCCATCGCCATGCCCGACACCCGTATAAAAAGGGATACGTGGCAGGGAAACATTTGGAGGGGCGTGACCTAATGACTGAAGTGACCAGCAGCGAACGAACGGATGTGCTACAGGGAAAGTGCAAAATCTTGTTCGCGCCTTTTTCAGACCTCCGTAAGCCGTGATCACTCACTCAGTTCTTAGATTCGCGGATCAAACAGGTAGTTTGCAAAGCTCGTGATGACTCAAATCGCTCAGGGTGCTGGCAAAATGCCTGGGGTAGTTGCGCAGCAAAGCGGATTATTGCAGTTTCCTGCTGTCACAAAGGCCGTTGACAATAACCTCGTGCTCTGCCGATATTCTCATTTGGTCAATTCTGTCAGGGCCAGTGTTTCATTTCGAAGACTTGGTGGTGAATTAGCGCAACTAGGGTGTTTTCTTGCAACACGTATTGTAACAGTACAACTAAACTTGGCAATGACTTAGTTCAACAGATGTCCATGTGTGGTAGCGGCCACCTGGAGACTACGTCAAGAGCCCAGTACCAACAAACTCATCGATCACCGTCGGCAGAACGCCAAGACGCCGCGCTAAACCGTGGACACGAGTATGCAGCGCAGCGCAAAACACCGCCTCTGCCCCAGCTCAAACCACCACCGTGATCGATCACAGACGGCGGAACGCCAAGACACAGCGCTAAACCGTGGACAGAGTATGCAGCGCAGCGCAAACACCGCCTCTGCCCCAGCTCAAACACCACGTTGATCGATCACAGACGGCGGAACGCCAAGACACAGCGCTAAACCGTGGACCCAAGTATGCAGCGCAGCGCAAACCACCGCTTCTGCCCCAGCTCAAACACCACGTGATCGATCACAGACGGCGGAACGCAAAGACACAGCGCTAAACCGTGGACACGAGTATGCAGCGCAGCGCAAACACCGTCTCTGCCCTAGCTCAAACACCACGTGATCGATCACAGACGGCGGAACGCCAAGACACAGAGCTAAACCGTGGACACGAGTATGCAGCGCAGCGCAAACACCGCCTCTGCCCCAGCTCAAACACCACGTGATCGATCACAGACGGCGGAACGCCAAGACACAGCGCTAAACCGTGGACACGAGTATGCAGCGCAGCGCAAACACCGCCTCTGCCCCAGCTCAAACACCACGTGTGACTACAAAAACTTACGTAAGGACGGTAGTGATGGACTCATTCTTCGGAGAGAAAAAAGGATGGAGATAAGATGCGTTGATATTTTGGCAACATGCCTTTTTGCGAAACAATAGCAGAAGTCAAGTCAGAAGTTCTGGCTTTTCCTCCGAGGAATGAGGCTATTACTACTGTCTTATCTATGTGAATAATGTTCCTCGATAGTACACTTGACAGCTTACTACAACCTTCCTGCATTGGGATGTGTGTCCTCAGTGCAAACGATTGGGAGCATTGTGCGATCACAGAGACTCTGATCATTTGATTCAAACAACGAGAACCAATATTCAGGGTTCACTTTCACGAAAATCCCAGGCTCCATAGCGTTCTATCGCAAAATGATCCATGGGAGTTGGTACTAAACAGGCCGGTTAATTTTCGTTTATGGCCAAAGAACCACTGGGAACCAGGTGGTGTAAAATCGCTTGCAAATCTTAATTGCGAAGACTGTTGTGTTAGTGCTGAAGGTGTTTGCGAATAAACCAATGAAAGCCAGCGTTCTGGTCTTTCTTTGCAAAACAATATACAGAATTCGGCTTCGGGCACTGTAAAAGAACTAATAGCGGCGCCGGGGTCCGTAGAATCCAGGGTCCAGTTTTTCGCCAGGGAACTAGTGGAAACCGTTATGTGGCATGCCCTTTGCAAAAGAACCGCCAGGAGCCAGGATCCAAGTTCCGCTTTTGCGTCATAGGGCATGAGAACCGTATATAATTGTTTTGTTTTCACGAAACGCCAGTTGGAACCAGGAGCCATCATTGGAAACCAACCGCATGCATGCTTTCATCTGGTTGACGAGGGAGTTTGCAAGGTACAGAGTATTTCCAGGAGCACTGTGTGACCACGGGCCAAAAAAGCCCTCTGGGTTTTGGGTGCTCCCGCATTTCTCGTACTGACAGCCACGGGTGGAAAAGGTATCCGTACGCCTATGAAAAGCACAGGAGGCTCAAACATCCGAAGCAACAATCATTGCAATTGTTATCGTGAAGTGAAATATCAACTAACACTGGATTATGGCATGGCCTGGTCTCACCTTCTCATTGAAATGCAATTAAGGACGACGGCAGAAATTACCAAAAATAAAATGTATTAGACCGATCAGCGGCACAGACATTTAGTTCAACATCCCTCGAACGGCACACGACGCAAAGCCAATCCACGGACGCGTAATGGACGAGTCACCATGTTATCAGTACACAAAACAGGAGTACACTTCATGGACGCCCAATAGGACACAGATACAAAAATGCAATTGCACTTGACGAAACCCTGTGGTTTCGAACCACGGTGTCTCTTCCGGGAGTGCAAACAATGCATGCCGACGGCCGCACTCATAAGGGGCTCATTTGATTAAAGGTATCATCAGTTCTCTTAAATGCTTGGAGCTCCGTGGTGGCATTGCGATACCCAGCTGCAAACGGGGCCTTAAAATAACAGGTTGAATAAGTCTAAACAAAATAAAAACTGAGCCTTTCGAAGCATCCTATGAGCATGTCCTGACACGAGTTAACACCAGTTGATGGAGAGTAATAACCTGAACCGCATTAAGCGTCGGCTTTGTTTCGCTCGATGTTTCCCTACGATTCAAATAGTTGTTTCATCGCAATTGCCACCATATTTTCTTTCAGCTTGCGACTATGGAAACCTGTTTCAAACAGGCAAAAAACAAAAACAAAACGCCAGACGCCTCTTGTCCAGACAGTCATATTTTTTCCCACCAACTCGAGCCCGCTCCTGCTGGTGACACAGTAACAACATGAGCACAGACACGGCAGCACCGCCGTCCCCTCATATCGACAATCTCCACCACCTGGGACGGTCCAGTAAGGCCCAGCCGCTTCACTCCAGCCGGAGGGGGGGGGGGGGGGGGGGCGGGACGCAAAAACAGCACATGACGTTCAACGAGAGACCACCTGACAGGCTCAGCACCGCACAGCCCAGCCCAGGAGCGCCATCGGCACCTGGACTGTGGCGCTCAGCCGTCGGCCGACACCCACCGGCCGCTCACAGCAGGGAAGCGGCGCGACACACGGCCCGGCCGTGGTGCAGCGCACACCTCAGGTCTGCGGCCGGCAGCCGGTCGCCAGGCGGCGCCGCGCAGCCGCCGCAGGAGCGGCCGCGCCGCCGCCGCCGGTGGCGCTCACAGCGCGGCAGCTCGGCGGTGTCGATGCCTAGCCTCTGGCAGTTGAGCCGAGACCGGCCACACCTGCCGACACACGGCAGAGCTGGCACCCGCTTGGGTGCGGACGGGCCGCGCCGACAGCGAGCCACACACCAGCCCGCGGCGGGCGTCGTCAGCGCCGGCGTCCAGCGAGGCAATGGGTGAAGTCGGGGCGTCCGGCGAGGCTGGACTGGAGTTCAAGCGGTGACTGGCGACAGGCCCTAGACCCAACACACCACTGTGTTTGACGAGACGGACCGGCTCCCAGCTAACGCTCACTGTGCCCGTGGCGTGAGCCTCACCAGCTCAGCTGCCTCGTGCCACCAGCCCCAACACGGTGCCACGTCAGTAAAGTGCGCTCAAACTGTCCTCGGCTGACCAGCCGTTCCAACCACTTACCCTCCCTCGGTCTAACCCGACACTGGGCGTCGAACGTGGCCGCCGCCCTACCCGGAGTAAACTTAAAGCGATCCAGAGTAACCCGCCGTGACCTGGAGTGACCAAGAGTGACCCTGAAGGAGTGGCGGCCTGACCTTGACGGTAGCAGTCGTCGGAGACGGTGACCAGAACGCCGGGGTCAGCCGGACTGAACGCCACAGCGTTCACCACGTCGTCGTTCGGTACTGCTGAGGCAGGGCCGTGTGGTGCCGGTCCCAGAGGTAGGGCGCGCTTATCTTCGGCCCCCGCTGCCGGCCACACGCGGCTGCGTAAGTCACACGACGCGCCAGACGCTTACCAGACCATACACCTGCACACTGCTCCGGCTCCGGCTCCGGCTCGGCTCCGGCTCCGGCTCCGGCTCCGGCTCCGGCTCCGGCTCCGGTCCGGCTCGGCTCGGCTCCGGCTCCGGCTCCGGCTCCGGCTACGGCTCCGGCTCCGGCTCGGCTCCGGCTCCGGCTCCGGCT